TCACTCGTTTTGCCTTTCCCGAGGTGGGGTTGTGTCGGAGGCCGCGAGTGAGGTGTGTCGGTGGCCGTGGTTGTGGTTGTCGGCCGGCGGTCGTGGAGGCGCTGGGGTGGGCGCGTGGCACTCTCGGCCTGGTGTCGGGTGGTAGGTAGGCTCTGGGACTGGGGCATGGGTTGGGGTGGGGGGAGGGGGGGTACTGGTAGGTATATTAGCACCGTGGATGTTCTTCTCCTTGTTGTTATTGTTGTTGTTAATATATATTTCTTAATTACTGCTATTATTATTATTAATATTATTGTTAATATTGTTATTATCAGTGTTTTGTACTCGTCATACGAGTGCAAGGTAATGAAGAGGGCAAAGGTCGACTTCGGAGGGCCCCTTGATAGTACTCCTCTCCCCCTCCTCCCCCTCCCCTCCCCTCTCATTCACCCTCTTCTCCTTCCCCTTTCCTCTCCTCAACCTCTCCCCTCCTTTCCCCCTCCACTTCCCTCTCCCACATTTCCCCCTTCCCCTTTTTTCCCACTCCCTTCCCCCTTCCCCTTTCCTCTCCTCTCCCTATCCTCTCCCTTCCCCCTCCCCCTCCCCCCTCTCCCTCTATCGGTCACGGGTAATTACCAGGAGTGCCGTACTTGGAGTGCGCGCACTCCTGGGAGTTGTTAGTCGGCCGGCTTATCAGAACGGCGCCCCCCCCCCCCCTTTTCTTATCTCCCGCGCTCCCTTCCGTCCACCGCGTCCGTCTGTCTATCTATTTCTGTCTATCTGTCTGTTTGTCTATCTGGCGGCGCTGCTTCGGGAGGCGCCTGGAGGGGGGGTGGATGCCGCGTCGCCGGTTTTCCCCAGGCCGACGGCTCCCCCCCCCCCCTTTTTCTCTTTCTCTTTCTCTTACTCTTGCTTTCTTTTTTCTCTTTTTCTCTCATTCGATTTCTTCCTCTTTTTCTTCTCTTTCGCTTACTTTTTTTTTTTTTGTCTTTCTCTCTCTCTCTCTCTCTCCCTCTCTCTCTCTCTCTCTCTCTCTCCCTCTCTCTCTCTATATGTGTATGTATGTATGTATTCATGCATGCAGGTATGTATGTGTTTCCGAGCGGTTCGATTCTGGCGTGCTGACGGCGCGATGTCCGCGGCGGTGACGTCGATAAGCAACATTGTTTACCTCTGAATCTCAATTCTCTCCCTCCCGCCCTTCCCGCCCTCCCTACCTACCCCTCTTCCTCCCTCCCTCCCTCCCTACCTACCCCTCTTCCTCTCTCCCTCCCTCCCTCCTTCCCCTCCTCCTTCCCTTCCTTCCTTCCTTCCTTCCTTCCTTCCTTCCTTCTTCGCTTCCCTCCTCCCTCTCTTTCTCCCTCCCTGACTCTTTCCCTTCTTCCCTACCTCCTTCCCCCCCCCTTCCTTCCTTCCTTCCTTCCTTCCTATCCTCGCCCTCTTCTTCCCTCTCTCGCCCCATTTATCATGCCTGCGTTCCCTCCTTCCTTCTCTTCACACCTCCCTCTTCTCCTTCTCTTTAATGTCCCCCTTCCCTTCGCTCTTCTACCCCCCCCCTCCACTTCTCCCTCACCCCCTCCACTTTCCGGCCACCCTCCACCTTTCCTCCCCTCCACATCTCCCTCCTCCCCTCCCCCCGCCCTTCCTCCTCCTGCTGCTGGTTCTGCCTGTTCGTGGCGGCTCGCGGGAGTCCCCCTGGGGCGCGCTGCTCCCCAGGGGCCGGGGGCGCGGGTGGGGGATCAATACGCAGGCCCGGCACCGACCCGCTCCCCAGCTGAGTGGTGCGGCCCACCTGCGGGCGGCGGCCCACCTGGGGAGGCCGTGGCAGATCCACCGGTTATGGCGAGGGGGGGAGGGGGGAGAAGGGGGAAGGGGAGGGGAGAAGCTAAGGGTCAAGGAAGGGGAAGGAGGAGGAGGAGGAGGAGGAGGAAGGGACCGGGAAGCTGGGGAGACAAAAGGAGAAGGAGAGAAGGGAAAAAAGAAGAAGAACGAGGGCGGAGAGGGAAGAAGGGAGGGAAAGATTGCAGGGCTGTTGCAGAATGGGAGAATAAAGGACAAGGCGAAAGGCAGGTGGAAAGGGTAATGTAGGGGAGGCGGACGAGGAAAGGGTCGGAAGCAGAGGAAATAAAGCATTGGGAGGAGAGAGAGAGAGGGAGGGAGGGAGGGAGAGAGAGAGGAAAATGAATAAAATAGAGAAATAAAGCATGGGGAGGATAGATAGGAAGTAAGTCCGAGATGATGATTTTATGAAATATGATAATAAAGATAATTATGATAATAGGAAGAAGAATAAAAGTCCGGGTTGTATGTCAGGAAAGCATGAAATCGAGATATTTTATCCTCTTTTTTTAGGAAGGGACGGAGGAAGAGAGAGGGAGAGTGAGAGAGTGAGAGAGAGAGAGAGAGAGTGAGTGAGTGAGTGAGTGAGTGAGTGAGTGAGTGAGTGAGTGAGTGTGTGTACACGTCCGTTTATGTGTCTGTCTGTGGAGACGCGAGGAATATGAATCAAGGAAGAGGAGAT